CTTGTTTGTTTTATATTTATACTGTGTACATGTTTGTGTGGTCATTATACTGAATACATATTTGTGTAGTCTTTATACTGTATACATGTTTGTGTGGTCTTTATACTGTATATATGTTTGTTTCACGTGATTTAGTACTGCTGATACTATGTATAAATCTACGCTTTTGTGTTATTATCTGAACACAAATAAAGAAAATAACTAAACCAATGGAATTATTACTTTGACACTTTGCAGGTAGCTACTCTCAAGCTAGGTTTAATGATGATGGAATAGATTCTGGTGAGGATGGTTTGTAAGATACCAGCTGCACACACACACACACAGGACTTAACTTGCCGTGACTAGAATAGATTGAAATATCATCGTTGTTATATTTGTAATGAGCCAAAAAATGTATCATGTTTTTTCAAATTTTTATAATTTGTCTTTATGTTTTGTTGTCGTATTAACGGAAACAAAAAGGCACGCTTATCCAGCAATCCGTAGTCCAAAGTACATTGTTGTAAAAAAATCAAAACTAATGACGTATGAGTTGATAAAGGTCAACTTTTAATTTAATCAAAGATAACATTTGCCTTGACGGCGGGATATTCTGGAATTACCACAATGTACTTATGCTATCACAAGTAAAAAATATGTTAAAATGAGGTTGAAATTAACTGTAAAAAATCCTAATACTTGAAATACTTTACAATTTATTATGGAATTTATGCTACGAATTGTTTCTATTCAGTAACTCATGTGTGACCTTTTACAAAACAAGTAAATAAGACCTTTCGATGGAATTAGACAATAACATGTTACATTATCGTTAATTGTAACTCTTTAAGTCAATACATGTAGCCTTTGTGATCTTAAAGATAAAACAATCATGTAAAACCTTATTTCCCTGGAGCTCATAAAGACGGCACATAAACAAACTTTCTTAGAATAACTCATTTACCATTGTCCATCACACTAGTGGACACTGACCAGGTAATTGAATTAGTATGAGGAAAATTCACGTGTTAATTGGTCGAGTTAATCAGGTAAATTGTCGCACCTTTACGGCGAAGCGAGTGTTGCCGATCGCGAGACAGTTAAACAAAAAGAAAGTCCGGACCTACTCTTTCATTTGGAATCATCCTGATATGGAGTCCAACTAAGACTGCGTTCGCTCTATTTTGGAATCATTAAGAATAGCGTTTCATAACAGGTTTTCTCAGGATGTCACCATGGTATAGATGCGGTGGTCACTTTAGGTCCAGCAATCTAGGTGATGTTCTGTCCCACGGACAGATGTTTCTGCTTCTACTTTAGAAAGATTGGACTTTTTTCAAGGGACAGGACATTCCCCTTAATCAGACACCGTCCACGACTTGACATCCTCTCCCTGAGGCTACGTCTCTGTCAACACCAAAGGGAAAGCCAAAATCCAGTGAAACGGCGGCGAGATTACGATCATCTACAGAAATATCGAGAGAACAAAATGATACTATCCGTTTTACCATTTCGTTAAGTTTCGGACGATGTCCTTAACAACACCATTTTTCTAAAAACTATTCCTGAATTCTTAGATCTGTTCTCTTGTCTCCAAACTTTCAAGTACTAAATCAACCATTTTGGCCATTTCAAAACTATAAACCACGAAACGTAATCAGTTACAAACATAACGGAAACGGAACAAACCCAACGCCATTTATCAAATCTGAAAACAAGAACTTTGAAAAAAGATGACGAACTGAACCGCGAGTAATACACGATCGTCAGCCTTTAATACAAATTATGGGAACTTCAAAGTGTATCACATCAAAATGTTTGCGACCCAAACTGTCGGATCGTATTCCTGCCATCTCTCCAATATCGTAATTATGATCAACGACGAAAACGAGTATTGGATCCAATACGAACGACCGACGTCAAGATAGCTGTAGAACGAACGGTGGACATTTCCCGTAAGATGCAAGGACACGTGTTCCCGAGACAGGAAGGAAACAAGGCATCATCCTTTGTTCTCATTGTACATTATATAGTAGAATTTACAATGTCTAATAACGGACAGCTATTGGCCTAATAGTGGACAGTTATAGGTAACAAACATAATTTTAAGCACTAGAACATTTTAGAAGAAAATCCAAAATTTATTTACAACTTTTTGTTTTATTTTGTTTAAAGTCCTATCAACAACAAAAGTCATTTGAGGGCGTGCCTCCATGTATGTTGTGCATGCGTGCTTGTGTGTGTGTGTGGGGGGGGGGGGGGGGGGCATTTTACGATACATACAGTGGGTAACAGCAGGTGTATTCTTTTCTCGATCCACGACCTACAGGGATGAAAACCAACAGAAATTTGTATTTGACCCAGGATGATCGAAGCGTCCATATCACTGTTGAGTTTTATTGAGAAGAAAAGTCTTTGTGAACAAATAATACTGAATGCTGTAAAACTAACTCGATGAAGGAATACCGTTATCCAATAACTATTTTAAAATATGAACATTGATGGAATAGAAAAAACATCTAGATTCAGGAATAATCCAATAGATCTTCACACACAATGACCCATATTTGGAGGTAGAATTAATCCAAAAGACATGTCCTGGTGTTTCATGAATATATTGGTAATTTCCTGAAAGTGATAAAATGTAACCGCTTTCTATTTGTATCATGATGCATGCAACCTCAGTGCCATTTGAGTAAACTTTCACTTTTGTTCTTTGTTCGATGTGTTGTATTAAATGACCAAGCTGGACTGACTGGTAAATACCCAGGATTCACTATATCAGTATAAGGACTAAACCCACATACTCACATGATTTTCATGTCCTTATACTGATATAGTGAAGCCTGGGTATTGGTTTAGTCTCACCTAGCATACATTTCTTAAATACCTATACATTTCTAAAATACCTAGTCTCACCTAGCATACATTTCTAAAATACCTAGTCACTTCACTTTTCATTCATAACATCACAAATGTCAAGATGTATTCAACCTTTGGGCTGGGGGCCCATTATATGTGGTACATGATACACACAAAACGATGTTTAGAGAATGTATGGAGATGATGTACATTATATACAACACAATTAAGTTAAGGGTTCAGATAGCTTCAATATAAATCTCCCTAACATACATAGCTGTTTACTATTTTGATACTTAACAACTGAAAAGCCTTAAGGAAAACCACACTGCAAGATTTTGAAATTTACTACAAATTAACAGAAAGCGAAATTCATCATTCATGTCTGTGGAGTTACATTCCTTACAATGCCTTTGTTCTCTAGGAACATTTCTTAATCTTCCAGTCTCAACGAATGCGAAGAAGTACTTAATCTATCGAGACATACATGTAGTCTATACTTTACTGGAATATGCTTCGTAAGATAAAATTGAAGAGAAATGTTCGTACCATATACCGTGGTCAATAACACCGTCGGCATGTGGTAAAGACGGAATTGTAAATGAAAACTTCTTTGATTATGTGTTTACCATTATATTGCAAAAATCATTGAGTAATGTGTACAAGATGATGTACAGTTAACATGAAAATGACCCTTCGTTTTCAATTTAAATGGTTACATTATATTAAGAAAATACTAGTAACTCGGGCTGAACTTATATGGCTATATCAAGAGACAAGTACTGTAGGCAAATTATTTTTGAAACATACATTGAAAACAAGGTTACATGATATGTAAAGTTAGGACATTTAACTGACACTAAATCTCACCTAGCATTCACCTAACACCTTACCTGTATAAAGGAAAATACCAAATGTATGCTCCGTGAGACGACACCTACTTGTTAAGCCCTGGTGAAATGGCTATGTCACTGTACTTGTTAAGCCCGGGTTAAGTCATAAGCTCACTTACTGGTGGTGTATGATGCCCAGTGGCATCCTTATACTGATATAACAATAATCCATATTATGCTTTCAAATGATTTGCTGACCACAACTGGTCAGAGTTTGATTGACCATATTGACCAATAGTTAATATCCAATCCTAATTGCCCATGCTGAAATATCAAGACAATTGCAAATATATATGCATTACATTATAGACATATTTTTAAACACCTGAAATCAACTGATTAAATATGAAACAATGAAAGTGATAATTAAAACACTTCCTTTGTAGGTGTTAAATTATTGGTCTTCATACATGATGTGTTGGCTTATTGTCTTGTTCTATTTTGCAGATTTNGAAATAATTGAAATGTCAAAGTTGTGACAGAAAGATTCCATACAAGTTGGAGTGTATTTGATGTAAAAGGTCAAGTTGATGCTCAGGATGAACTTAGAACAGTTTAATTTCAGAATTAAGCATGGAATTGGCTTTTGATAACCAGAGGATAACAGCTATATTAAAGAAATAGGAATACCGTGACCAATGAAATCTCAGATACTAAAAAAATCAAGTTTCACAATTTTTCATACTCATTATTGTTAATCATGATTTAACATGCTACTGGATTGAAGACATGTTGAAGGTAAGGTTTCATGTAAATAACTATCTTGGTAAACAATCGGAACAAATCACTTACCTTTGTAATAAGTGCTACATACATTTCTACATGCGTGAGAGTATATATATATTTTTTTTATCTACAGCGGTTTATTCACTGACCAATAAGTTATAAAT